GCTACGCCTCCTCACGAGCCCCCTGCCCAGCCGTGGAGCCAGGTAAGTGGCGCGCCACGCACTCAGACCCCACCCTGGGACGCACGGCCTCCCGGGTTGGGTCCCTGTGTTCCACTTCACTGCCCCACTGCGGGTACGTCGGTGGTTTCCCTGGTCCCGCTTGTTCGGTCACTGGGGGCCTGGTTAGAGCTCCCCAGGCCGTCTCGCTGGCTCATGAGAACCATCAGACTCGGCTACGCGATTCAATTCGCCCGGCGCCCTCCCAAGTTCAGGGGCATTCGGTTCACCTCTGTACTGGACAGGGATGATCCTGTCTTACGTGCAGAGATCGCGGTCCTGCTGGCGTAGGACGCGATACAGCCAGTCCCTCCAGCCGAGATGTGGTCAGGTTTCTACATCCCATACTTCATCGTACCCAAGAAAGGCAGTGGGTTACGACCAATCCTGGACCTGCGCGTGCTGAATCGGGCCCTTCACAAGCTCCTGTTCAGGATGTTGACGGAGAAACGTATCTTTCAATGTGTCCGTCCTTTCGATTGGTTCACAGCGATCGACCTCAAGGACGCGTACTTTCATGTCTCGATTCTCCCTCGACACAGACCATTTCTCCGCTTTGCGTTCGAAGGGCGAGCGTATCAGTACAAGGTCCTCCCCTTCGGGCTATCCCTGTCACCTCGTGTCTTCACCAAGGTCGTGGAGGCAGCCCTCATTCCATTGAGGGAAGCGGGCATTCGCATTCTCAACTACCTCGACGACTGGCTCATACTGGCCCAGTCTCGAGCGCAGTTGTGCGAACACAGGGACATGGTGCTCAATCACCTCAGCCGGTTAGGGCTTCGGGTCAACTGGGAAAAGAGCAAACTCTCCCTGGTGCAGAGGATCTCTTTTCTCGGCATGGAGCTGGACTCGGTCAACCTCTCAGCACGTCTCTCACTAGAGCGTGCACAGTCGATGCTGAACTGCCTGGGGTCTTTCCAGCGCAAGACGGCGGTTCCACTGAAACAGTTTCAGAGGCTCCTGGGGCATATGGCATCCACAGCCACTGTCACGCCACTCGGGTTGCTTCATATGAGACCGCTTCAGCGTTGGCTTCACGACCGGGTCCCGAGATGGGCATGGCGATACGGCACATACCGGGTTTATGTCACCCCGTTCTGCCGTCAGACCTTCAGCCCGTGGGCAGATCTTGCCTTTCTTCGGACAGGGGTGTCCCTAGGGCAAGTATCCAGGCATGACTAGTCCTGTCAGTAGCCACAAGTCACGTCTTAATGAGTGACTCATTCAGTCATTCATTCAACTGATTCATTCTAATGGCTCATTCATTTAAAAACAAGGCAAGTGAATGTCTTTATAAATAGATCACTGAATCATTGGCTCACTTGATTTGTTAGAAACCTTGGAATACATTAATAATTGTAACTTGTTATTTTTTAACACTCATCGATATTTGCATATACTGCATATAGTTTAGCTTGTGTAAAAGTATGCCATATCGATTTTGATAACACTTTAGTCCAGAGACCAATTCTCCCTATTAACTAGTTGCTTATTAGCATGCGTATTACTAGCATATTGGCTGTATATTAGTACTCATAAAGCACATATTAATGCCTTATTCTACATGACCATATTTTACATCCCTTAATCTTACCCCATACCTTAATTTAACAACTCCCTTACTAAATATTAATAAGCAGCAAATCAGGAGTTTATCGAGACAAAAGTCATAGTTAACAGTTAGTTAATAGTGAAAATTGGCCCCAAAACTATAGTGTGACCCAAATTTTAACACATTCTAGAATCCATGAACATGACAAATTGCTGATAATATCATTTCTAATTTGTAAAATTTATGAGATTATTAACATCACGAGTATCTGAATTACATTCTACACTGAATGCAAGTTAATAATATGTACATTTTGTACACGAGTCACTATGTTGTTTCCAGTCTCTGATTTTGCAGCTTGTGATATCTGTTAATAGTTGCAAAATATAAAAGTATCACTGTTATCATAGTAACTGCATCTCCATGCTTCAGGTGTTGTCGCTAGGCGCTGACGTGCTTCCAGAGTATAAGCTTCAGATGCCACGCATCGACAAGTTCACCATCCTACACTACAGCCCCTTCAAGGCAGTCTGGGATTGGCTGATTCTGCTGCTAGTCATATACACCGCTGTTTTCACGCCCTACAGCGCTGCTTTCCTGCTCAATGACGTAGAGGAGCAAAAGAGACGAGAGTGTGGTTATTCCTGCAGCCCGCTCAACGTGGTGGACCTCATAGTGGACATCATGTTTATTGTAGACATTCTTATAAATTTCCGGACTACGTACGTTAATGCCAACGAAGAGGTGGTTAGTCATCCAGCTAAGATAGCAGTGCATTACTTCAAGGGATGGTTCTTCATAGACATGGTGGCAGCCATACCGTTTGATCTGCTCATATTTGAGGGAGGATCAGAAGAGGTGAGTGGTGCATATGTTTTCATGTGGTTTGATTTGTTTTAGTTGTAATTTACAATGAAAGATTTTTCATGCTATTCGTACTGTCACTCATACTTCGAGTTAGTAATTTGAACAAATACAAAAAAATACAGTAGTCAACATTTGAAGTGGATCAAAAAAGTTAATCAAAGTTGTCCTAAGACAAGAAAGCTTTTAGGTTTTAGGACAACTTTGATGAAAGGTTTTGATCCACTTAAAATTTTGACTAGTATACTTCAAACTACATGGAACATCATAGCAAACACCCTGAAAACCTGGCAACCAACACCCTCATGGGTACATTTTCACCCAAATGCTAAAAATCTGGGGATTAATATAAAATGCACACTTAAAAATAAAGGTGCTTCACGATGCCATAGAAGAACCTTTTTGTTTAAATGGTTCCATAAAGAACCTTTAACATCTGAAGAACCTTTTTGTTTCACCAAAGGTTCTTTGTGGCGAAAGAAGGTTCTTCAGATTATAAAAAGGTAAGAAAGAGATGGTTCTTTAAAGAACATTTGACGGAATGGTTATTTGTGGACCCAAAAATGGTTTTTCTATGGCATCTCTTGAAGAACCTTTTGAAGCACCTTTATTTTTAAGAGTGCAGTTTAAAGGATTAGTTCACTTCCAGAATAAAAATTTCCTGATAATTTACTCACCCCCATGTCATCCAAGATGTTCATGTCTTTCTTTCTTCAGTCAAAGAGGTTTTGAGTAAAACATTCCAGGATTTTTCTCCATATAGTGAACTTCAACAGGGTTGAAGGTCCAAATTGCAGTTTCAACGCAGAAGAGTGCAGTTTAAAGGATTAGTTCACTTCCAGAATAAAAATTTCCTGATAATTTACTCACCCCCATGTCATCCAAGATGTTCATGTCTTTCTTTCTTCAGTCAAAGAGGTTTTGAGTAAAACATTCCAGGATTTTTCTCCATATAGTGAACTTCAACAGGGTTGAAGGTCCAAATTGCAGTTTCAACGCAGCTTTAAAGGGCTCTACACAATCCCAGGTGAGGAACAAGGGACTTAGCTAGCAAAACTATTTTCTTAAAAAAAAATTCTAAAAAAAATTAAAATACTTTTTAACCACAAATGCTCGTCTTGCTCTGTGATGCTCTGTGATGTGTGTCCACGACTTCGCTTACGTTGTCACGTTGAAAACATAGGCTTGTGTGACAGGCAGAAGTAGTACTGAACTCCATCTGATTTTCTCCTTCTACTTCAAAACCTTTTTTTTGTAAAGGCCTTTGATTTTGATTTTGTCTTTGCACGTTCACTTTGTAAACACTGGGTTGGTACGTCTGCCTACGTCACACGTGACCTTTTCAATTTGACTAAGTAATGCAAGAAGTCGAGCTAGTGCAAGACGAGCATTTGTGGTTAAAAAGTATATAAATGTTTATTTTTTTAAAGAAAAGAAGAAAACAATTTGGTCCCCATTGAAGTCCATTAAATGGCGAAAAATCCTGGAAATTTTTCCTTAAAAACATTTTCGACTAAAGAAAGAAAGGCATGAACAAGTGAACTAATCCTTAGTGCTTAAATATGGATTTAAGTATGACTGACTGTTTAGGCTTTAGTGCAATAGTGTCATTTTTATCTAAACGTTATGTTAACATGAATGTATGTTTGCACTTCACCTTCTTGATTAGACCACGACTTTGATTGGCCTGCTTAAGACTGCCAGACTGCTCCGATTGGTCCGTGTGGCACGGAAGCTGGATCGTTACTCAGAGTATGGGGCGGCTGTCCTAATGCTCCTCATGTGTATCTTTGCACTGATTGCTCATTGGTTGGCTTGCATATGGTATGCAATCGGCAATGTGGAGAAGCACTATCTGGATCACACGATTGGCTGGTTGGACAATCTAGCTATATCTATCGGCAAGCAGTATAATGGCACCGACCTCTCCTCAGGCCCCTCAATCAAGGACAAGTATGTGACAGCACTGTATTTCACATTCAGCAGTCTGACCAGCGTGGGCTTTGGAAACGTGTCGCCAAATACCAACTCAGAGAAGATCTTCTCCATCTGCGTCATGCTCATTGGCTGTGGGTATCAATACATTCAAATTAAACGTATGCCATCAAAATCACCAGTGTAGCAAGCAGGAATGTTTTTTAAGACAGCTTAATCTTATATCTTATATATTATTGAGCATATTAACATATTTTAAAGGAATTAATACTTCTAAAAAAAAAAATTTGTTCCTAAGCATATATAACTTAATATTATTAATATTTTTTAAAGGAATTAATACTTTTATTAAGAATCCTGGAAAAAAATTTACCATGGTTTACACAAAAATATTGAGCAAATATTTTGTGTTTTTAATATTTATAAATATATATATATATAACTTAAATCCTGACCATTGCCTTCTCTCTTTGTTTTTTAGCTCTGATGTATGCTAGTATCTTTGGGAATGTGTCTGCTATAATTCAGCGACTGTACTCAGGAACAGCTCGGTACCATCTGCAGATGCTTCGGGTCAAAGAATTCATTCGCTTCCACCAGATCCCTAACCCGCTGAGACAAAGACTGGAGGAGTACTTCCAACACGCATGCACATACACCAATGGCATCGACATGAACATGGTAAGAGTCAAGTTTCTTTCCCCTTGACATGAATTTCTGTCATTGAATAAATAAATGCATTTATCAGTCAGTGTTTGCATTATGTGTCAGTGTGTTAGCTATCTAGTGTTTCAAACATATGTATCTCAGTCACAGAGTATTAATGTCAAATGTGTTCATGTGTCTACGCAGTGATCTGATATGCATTGTCTCTTTCTTATACGCACTCAAACGGACTGACTTCAACACCCTGGTGAGCAGGAGGTATAGATTAATGTTTGCTTTTGACCAAAAAAGCTGCAGTTGTTTTATTTTTAATGTTTTCCGTAATGTCTATATTTTTATTGAAGCATGCAAACTGTGCATGTCTAACCGCGGGCAGTGTTGGGTTAAATACGTACCGTTTTATAAGGTAAGCATAGTCTAAATGTTATAGCCAATTAAAGCAATTAAAGTTTGGTCCATTTGAAGACTGATGTTAAATCAAAAGCTCTATTTACAAAGCTAATGGCATGTGTACTGTGACTCATCCTGCATACAGACATTTGCCAAGTTCCATTTCAGTTATTTTCCTTCAGTTAAATCAGTTTCACTTTGATGGGCCTAGGTCGTATTGACATTTCCCATTTTATTAGGCATTAGATTTAGTTAGTCAGTCAGATAGATAGTTATTGCACATTAATGTTTTTTTTTTCATGCCAGTCTTTGTTCCTTGGCAGACATCCCAAATTAAATTTTAAACAAGAAACTTGGTGGGGTTTTTTTATATGAACCAAAAAAATTGGGGGGAAACATACAGTGGGGAAAAAAAGTATTTAGTCAGCCACCAATTGTGCAAGTTCTCCCACTTAAAAAGATGAGAGAGGCCTGTAATTTTCATCATAGGTATACCTCAACTATGAGAGACAAAATGAGGAAAAAAAATCCAGAAAATCACATTGTAGGATTTTTAAAGAATTTATTTGCAAATTATGGTGGAAAATAAGTATTTGGTCAATAACAAAATTTCATCTCAATACTTTGTTATATACACTTTGTTGGCAATGACAGAGGTCAAACATTTTCTGTAAGTCTTCACAAGGTTTTCACACACAGTTGCTGGTATTTTGGCCCATTCCTCCATCCAGATCTCCTCTAGAGCAGTAATGTTTGGGGGCTGTCGCTGGGCAACACGGATTTTCAACCCCCTCCAAAGATTTTCTATGGGGTTGAGATCTGGAGACTGGCTAGCCCACTCCAGGACCTTGAAATGCTTCTTACGAAGCCACTCCTTCGTTGCCCGGGCGGTGTGTTTGGGATCATTGTCATGCTGAAGTTGCATTCTCCTCTGCTTGATGTGCCGTATATCATTATATGAAGCAAAAGCAAATCAAAGGCAAACACAATGCAATGCAGCAGAAACAATGGATCCCAGACGTATTCATACTGTGCTTCATCTTTTATGTATTTGTAGTTGAGGGAGACAGGGCTATATTAGCATTGTATAATCTTGAGCTCTAACGCAAAGCTCTTAAAACCTGCAATCATTCTGCCCTCCTTCTTCTCTTCTCCATGGGGAACACTCTTTCTCTCTTTTTCTTTCTCTTTTCCCTCTCTGCAGGTACTGAAGGGCTTTCCAGAGTGCCTGCAGGCTGATATCTGTCTTCATCTGAATCAAAGTTTGCTCCAGAGCTGCAAGGCTTTCGGCGGAGCGACCAAAGGATGCCTTCGGGCACTGGCGATGCGCTTTAAGACCACTCATGCCCCACCGGGTGACACGCTGGTGCATTGCGGGGACGTTCTCACGGCCCTCTACTTTGTGGCCAGGGGATCTATCGAGATTCTCCGAGACGACATAGTGATGGCCATCCTGGGTGAGCAATGAACAATAAAACAAACTTTCACTGTAAGCCTGTAATAAGCCTACCAAAACTTTGTTGCGATGAAATGCACTAATTTTCGGCAATCAGAATAAATCCAATTTGATTTCAGATTCTAAAGGTTTTTATGATTCCTAAATGTTACAGTCCGGTTCACAGTTTCCATAATTGATTCTTCTATTTCCTGATAATCCCTGTCAAGCTGCTTTGACACAATCTGCATTGTATAGAGCACTATGGAAATTAAGGTGACTTGACTTGACATATTTGTTCACATGTGAATGGCACGTATTCTACACTAAGTACATATCACGCATTAAATTCAATTTAGGAAAAAAGTCAATTTCAAGTGTTTAAATGCGTAATTCTTTCCTGTTTATTTCAAGTCTAAACCACCCATTTCACTCGAAATTTCATTCAGATGAAGGCTTTTCAGTCCGATTGATCCATCAATCCGGTTATAGACAGACTATTTGAGTGCATGTAAACTTAGCTACTGTGATTAGAATCTATATTTGATATAGAGTTTGGTTACTGGACCAAATCTTTAAACAGTAGGCTTTTCCACCACACAATAAATGTCCTTGGTGCATATTATTCTAAAAAAAAATCATATTCTTACTTCAAAAAGTATTACTTTCTCCAAAATAACTTTTTTGTTCTCATAACCAAGGCCACACAAGAAGGAAAAAGTACCATCATCTACCATATTTTACCATCCAATCCAATCCAAAAAATATATTAAAATAACACCCGTCTACATTATTTCAAGCTGAAAGCTGAAATTGTGAAGTGTTTTACAAATGCTGTTGGCTTTACATCTAAAAGGCTGGGCATCTAAATGGGAAGTGATGGCGGAGACAAAAGGACAAATCTAGTTTATATGTATATATATATCCTATAATAAGTACAGTATCAATGTCCAAATAGCAGATTACTGGAATGCTGTGGAAAATGGGTTGTCTTACAATATGGCGCTTGCACACTCATCTAAATTTAATATAAACATCTCAGAGGCTCAAAGGTAATAAGAGACTTAATGAAAGAAGTGCTGTCCTTCATTCAAGGATATCTCTCCTGTGATGAGCTCATCATGTTTTTTATAGCTGGAGAGAGACTGAAATAGAGGAAAGCTGAAGGAAAGTGAGAGAACGAGGCAGAGAAGGGTTGTAATTAAATAAGAAGATGCGGGAATGAGAGTGACGGCAGTGTGGTGCATGTTTCCCTTGTTCATTAGATTTGCGAAGTGTCACTTAGTGTGACGGAGAGCCCCGAGTGACAGAAATAGTTTCATTATTTACAGGCGCATTTATTAAACTCGTGCACACACATGCTTGAGAGTTTCCAGCCACATCCATGCACGGGCAGGTGGAGGAGGGTAAGCCGAATTTAAATGGTCCATCTCTCTTCCTACGCAAGCTGGCTTTAACAGAATAAGGCCAGGGAAAGAAAGAGAGACACACACTTACCCAATCATGCAACTCAGCAGAAACTTGCTGTACACTGCACAAAATTGCTAAGAGAAGCTACCTCCTGCTTCATATGTTTTCTTAGGTCTCAGTTGAAGAATCACTACCACAGCAAGAATCTATTGTCTTACGAAAATGTTGCAGATGGACACTTCATCACTGTACACTAATTCTGGCTCTGGCTGTTACTCTAATATCGTACTCACCTCGAATAATTTATATATAATATACAACACTAATGGCTTTAGCCATGACCCTGAGCCGAATTTAGATCCAGTGGCAGGTGGCCGCTGCGCAGGTGGCTGTCGTTTGTTTGTCAGGTCTGACCTTTGATATGTATCACTGCAGAAATGTGCTGTCAGGCCTTGACTTTTCTCTTGGCACATGTCCTCACGAAGCTTGCAGGGGCTTTATATCAAGCAATTCTGACTTTTATATAAATTTTGAGTTTACATCTCATGACCGAAAGGGTCTATCTGTTTCATGAAATGCGTTTCATCTTTAAAATATTTTGCTTATATTAATGCACAAAATCATATATAACATTTCCAAAATTACATTCACAATTCTCAGAAAACAGTTTATATTAATCACAGTTGTGAGATAAAAAGTTACAATAACCTTTTTATTTTTTCTAAACTTAATGTGATGAAATAAAGAAAATATTACAGAGACAACAAATAGATAACTTATTTCATCTTCACTGGCAGCACACATATGTCTACAAGTGTTGTCTTGTTCACAACAAATGACTCTTATGAGCTGATTCGTCTAATTAATTAAACAAAAGACTCACAAAATCATTATCCAGTTTGCAAAGACAACTATAAGTAAGCTATTTGAAGGTTGATTCCTCCAAAGAAGTGTTTGTTTGACCAATGGCAGACAGGGAGTTTTGGAAGCGTATTTGCCAACATCCAATATTTTTGTCACAGAAGTGACATGTTTCAACTTAAAAGATGTACATTCAATAAAATCATTTTAGTTAACTGTATTTAATTAAACAACAAGCAATTACCTTGCATAACTTATTTTGTTGACAGCACTGACACACATAAGGTGTGATTACATTTACTGCAATCCGGCAATTTCAGCAGGAATCCAAACAATTAGGAATTTCACTTGAGGGTGAAGGATTTACCCACAGATTTTGCAATGGCTTTAAGAAATCTGATTGGTTTAAAAGTGATTTCTGTGTGTGCTATGCTTCATACGTCAGTACTATAATTGACTTTTTTTGCCTGTGAAATTTCACTTACATACTAATACTTATATGGGAACTTACTTTCTCTCGTGTAACTATTTGTCCATTTTCTTCCTTCATTGCTTTATCTTCTCTTCCCTCTCTTCTCTTCTGATCACTGTACGCCCACCTCTCAGGTAAGAATGATATTTTTGGAGAGATGATTCATCTGTACGCCAAACCGGGGAAAGCCAACGCAGATGTTCGAGCGCTGAGCTACTGCGACCTCCACACCATCTACAGAGAGGATCTTCTGGAGGTTCTGGAAATGTATCCTGAATTCTCAGACTACTTCCTGTCCAATCTGGAGCTCACGTTTAACCTGCGTGATGAGAACGCCAAGGTAAAGCAACAAGCTATAATTGCTTAGTGTTTCGAAATAAAAGATGAAATGTTCCACGCTAGCATTGACTATATAGTTTATTCTCCAGTCCACCATGACCCTTTATGAAAATTAAAGATTCTAGAAATAGAATGCCTTGTAAAATATACAGCAGGCTGTGCAATGAAATATAAATATACTGTGCAGCAATTACAGTAGGTAAAAATAGATTATGAAGGAAACAGCTGATAATAGCAACCCACGTTTAATTTAAACAATATTCAAGTAATATACAGCAACTGATCATCATCTGATGAATGTTGTTGTGAATTATGGCAGTAGTTTTCACATGAACATAGTCCTTCATAATAGTAATTTACAAATAGAAGTCTTAAAGTCCACATGAAATCAAAATTGACTTTATTTACTTTATTAGCGCACATTGCTAGTCTTGATAGTCTCCGTGCAAGTTAATCTGCTGAAAAAAATAGTTTGTCTCGGTAATCTTTAATCAAAATCTGAACATTTGCTTCTGCTCTGGAATGGCATTCCTTCTCTGATGACGTCAGTTTGATGGCTTGGGCAGAATATCCTTAAACACACCCCTCCAACCGTTAGGTTGCTATGAGTGAGAGACAGAGAGGAGGAGCGCAAAAATAAAACCCTGCCCTCTACTCAATATTCCGTTTCAGCTGGAAATACGTCACTACACTGAAATAAAGTCGGCACGAACTTCCGGTTCACGCAGACTTTAAAGGGGTCATCGGATGCAAAATTCACTTTACATGTTGTTTGAACATAAATGTGTGTTGGAAGTGTGTGTACACATCCACCCTATAATGATAAAAATCCACCCAGTGTTTTTTTAAAAATCCCCTTTCTCAAATCAGGCTGTTCTGAGATTCCTGTCAGAATGACGTAGTTCTGCACAAGCCGCTCCCACAATAGTTGATTGACAAGTCCGTCTTATCTTAGACCCGCCCTGAGTGAGCTGAGAGCTGTCCGCCATTGTGTCGACTCGACGGTGAAGGGGAAGACAAGAATGTCTCCGATTAAGCGATTGAGGTGTTTTGTTGTTGGATGTAATAATGAATATAGCAGTCTCATTTACCCCCGACATCTGAGCCGCTGAAGACGCAGAGGATTAATGCTACTTTCGTTTTTGAAGGCAATGCGCCGATCCCCGATCTGCCTAAATGCGTTTGTTCGCGTGAATCATTCATGATCCAGATTCATCTACAGAAGAAGTGAGTATAAGGGTTTTTTTATGAATCTTTGCAAATCGCCTGTCCTAGTCAGAGCATGTGAGCTACGTTTTCCGCTCTATGGACGTGCGCTCCGCTCAGTCGCTCTAACCGCACAAGCAAGCGCTCCGTTAATATTCCGCTCACGCTCACCGTGAACCAATTCCCACTCAGATCCCGCTCCGACATAAAATTTCTCTAGTCGGCCTAATTGTTTACTGTTTGTAACGAAATTCTTGGATTATTGTCTAAAATTAAGCATGCTGATAAATAGCAATTATCATGTTTCAGAGCGAAATTCTTACATTCTTCTTAATTTTATTAATTGTAATGTATTAATTAAAATTTATTAAATATATGAATCTAACCTTAGCAAACCTACCTAAAATGCAAAAACTGAAAAAGTGTATTTGATTTTCGTTAACTTTATTTCCGTGAAAATAGCTGCAGTTGTTGTGCAATAGAACATTCAAAACAGGCTCATTAAAACACAAACACACACACACACGAGATGAAATGTGTGTAGATCTTTACAAAATACACCTGGATTATAAAGCCTGTGAAAAGCACACGCCATAATTTAGACTAAACGAAAAAATTAATTCTTAATTCGTGGCCATAATGTAGTCCTAGCATAAAAGAGAACTAGCCTATTCTAAATTCGTTGGCCGTGATTGTCTGCATGTCATGATCGGGGCTCAGTACAACCGAATATAACCTTAGCCTACCTGTTTATTAATTTATTATGGTATGTAACTAGCTCACCTTTTGCCGCACCATGTTTGCGTAGCACATCCTCGTGCTTTCTGGCAATGTGCCGCTTCAGATTCCAATATGAATCTTTACTAACTCTCCCCGCACTCCCTCTCAGTTTCTTCTCCCTGCTCATTCTTAACTTAGATTTTTTGCTTTAAATGTATGTATAAGGCTTGCAACTTCGTTGAAACAATATCTGAACTCCATAACTGCTCTACTATTCTCGATCTCTACAGATTCTCGATCTCGAACAAGCAAATCACCAAACGGCATTCTGGGTTGAGCGAGCGGAACGGAATCTTCAGAAAGGCGCTCTGCACTCATAAGGAAATATTACCACTCCGCTCCCGCTCCGCTCACATGCTCTGGTCCTAATATGTTCTAGTTAGCAAGTTTCGCGGCTAAAGTTTACAGTCTGCTCGTCACCCCACGGAAGAGAGGGGCGGGGGCAGCAGAGCTCATTAGCATTTAAAGAAACATGGATTGTTAAAAACAGAGGTGATTTTGACAGGTTTTTTACACTACCATTGAGAAATTTTAACCAAAGTATGTTATAGACTTTTCATTAAGACCCTAAAGAATCAGATCAACTTGTAGAAAATGGGCATCCGATGACCCCTTTAAACGGGTACTGGTTACTCTTAATGCAGTTACAAAGAATAGGCAGTAGATATTTAAAAAAGGGTGACATAAAAGAAGTGGTTTTCAACCAATGTGTGATTTCTAGGCCTGGACAAGTAATGTAAATGAATAAAAACACATGGGTATTTTAATATCTTTTATGATTTTACAATTTCCTACTCATGCCAAGTTCAAAAATATTTTATCAGGTAGAAATTGAAAGTAAAAATAATTTTAAAAATCACTATCAAGTAAATATGAACAACAGGAAAAGTGAATGTTGTTGTGGACACTGAAGAGCCTTGGAGTCAGAAAGGTTGAAAGCCACTGTGCTACTGTATATTCCAAGTCTTCAAATGTATGGTTAAATTCTGTCTATCAATAGGTTAGATGTATGCAGTCCGTTTACATGTGTAGCACTGTAGTTCTGTGTCATTTTGTTTTTGTTTTGTATGTTTCCGCATATAGTGGAATGACAATAAAGCTCACTTGACTTTTTTGTGACAAAGAGATTGAAATTTATGTTGTTATAGTCTCCGATTTCTGGTGGGCTGTTGTTCATTGATTTATTGGATGTCAAGATTTTCACCGAATGACCTCTGAATAGTTCACCCAAAAATTAAAGTTTTTTTTACTCATCATTTACTTCATCATGTCATTCCAAACCTGTAGAAGAACACAAAAGAATGTATTTTGATGAATTATGAAGAACCAAACAGTTGTTGGTCCCCATTGACTTCCATAGTAGGGAATGAAATACTATGGAAGTCAATGGGTAACATCAACTATTTGATTACCAGCATTCTTCAAAATATCTTCTTTTATATTCAACACAAGAAAATTGACAACATTTTCATTTTTGGGTGAACTATTTCTTTGTTCTCTGGTCTGTTCCTTTTGGCATGACTTACTTTGATGATGCTCTTCTGTCATTTTGAAGTCATTATATATAAATAATGGTCTGGAAATTCTTCAGAAAGTCAGCTTGTATGTTCCACAGAAGAAAGCCAATCTGTTTTTTTTCCTTTCTAATGTTGCTAGAGTAAATAAAGTTAGTGCCTTTTGCCTAATGTGATGATGTCTTGTGTGTGGCAGGGAGCAACAGCTCCTCAGAGGAACCTATACACGGCCGTGAGTGACTCAGACACAGAAGATCCTGACGTCAAGACCAAACCCTGCTTTAAGAGGAACCGCTCCGCAGGTCAGGAGCTTCTCCTGTTCTGCTCGCATCCGTCTTCCTCTCATGTTCTCTCCTTTTTTGGTCCCTCCTTTGCTTCCCTTCCCCCGTCACCTCCCCTCCTCATTCCACACATCTCTTTTCTCTCCCGCTGGGTTTCAAGCTGTTTCCATGGTGATTGTTGGCCACCGACAGATGTTTGTTATTGTGTGGTTGCAACGTGCCAGATTTCACCTGAACGGTCAAGAGCCATTTTATCCCCCGTCCCTGTGTAACCTGCTGTTTGGATTATTCATCCCGGCCAAATCTCTTACTCTCTTGCTGGCACATTCCTCTCTATCTTTTTCTTTGTTCAAGGTGCAATCTGGAGAGTGACCGTGAGAACTGTGTGTGTAATTCTGCAAGGACTTTGTGTTCCCTCAGGTTCTCCGAGCAGACTGAGCGGGACAGACAGGGAAAGTGGAAGAGATCGAGAGGTTCGCACGTTACCGGGAGAGGAGGAGGAGGAGGAAGAAGAGGAGGGTGAGGAAGAAATGGCGAGGTCTTTGAGTCAATCCATTCCTGTCAACCTGAACACCATCCCTGATACATACTCTAAAGATTGTGTTGAAAACAATCTGTTTCACAAAGGTATAACATACTCATTCTCATAGGTGCCCTACAGTAACACTTTACTTGAAACATATCAAAATGTTCTTTATGCTTTAAATACAAATTGTAATTCATTGTTCATTTTACAATACATTACTTAATAGTTATCATTTTTTTCCATGTTGTGGTGTACATCTGAGTGAAACAGATTATTGGAAAAGTAAAAAATATAGGGCAGGGACTTGGTTATTCATGATTTGCTGATTGGATGGAGGCAGATCTGATTGCAAGCTTGCAGCCAATTGTAAGGGGCGGGATTGAAGCAGGTGAAATGATTGGACCAGAGAGTATGCAATTTTAGTGGAAGATCAAATTATGACATTTTAATTAAGAATTAGAAATTCTTAAAAAAAATTATTTAATGTCTACATTTTTTAAATTAAATTATATTTTATATTGTAACTGTACTAAAAGCAAAGAGACTATTTCCTTTTTCCTTTTTAAATCCAGATTTATTTGTAAAGTGCTTCTCATAATTATAATTCCACTGCAGCATGTTTTACCTTTTTTGTGTGTGTGTGTGTGTGTATGTGTGTGTTAAACATTAAATTAACATATATAATCAGTGTCATTAAAAATAAAAAAATGTAAGATTAAATATAATATTAGAACATTATATTTAATCTTAAAAATGTTTATTTTTGTATCACATTTCTGCTGAGCCTCTAGCATGCCATTGGCTCTAGTTTGAAAACCTCTGGTGTAGAGGAAGTTTGGTGTTTGGAGTAATTGGTAACACTTTAGTATAGGGACCAATTCTCATTATTAACTAGTTGCTTATTAGCATGCATATTATTAACATATTGGCTGTTTATTAGAACCTATAAAGCACATTCTCCATGGCCATATTCTACATCCCTAATCCTACACAAAAACTAAACTTAACAACTACCTTACTAACTAGCAAATTAGGAGTTTATTGAGGCAAAAGTCATAATTAATGGCTTGTCAATAGCAAGAATTGGACCTTAAAACAAAGTATGACCGAGTAGTTTTATGAAAATGTGTTTGTAACAATTTTATAATAAAATATCAATATTCCACTGATGTGCACCTTAAGGTATATTTGATGGCATTATTAATATTGGTAACCCTTTCTGTGGAGCCTATATATAAAATGTATTGTATACAAGCCTTGTAGAAAATATTGCCAAAAATTGCGATATCAGAGTATATAAAATTAATTTATAAATAACTAGAGGAAAACAATGAGTCACAAATGTGCTGCAATTTTTTGTGACTCTGTACAGTAAAGAAGAGGTTTTAAATGTGTGAACAATGACTGCTGATATTCTTGCACAGCCAGGGAGCTTCTCTTCCTCTTTTTCCTTCTCTCATCTCTAAATATTACAAGGCGACACTAGAGCGTATTATAAGATTGAGCTTGGTGTAATATCTTGTTGAGGCAAACACACACAAAAAATTTTTTCTTGGGCTTCTGGGTTTTGCAGCTGTTATATTAGGGCACACTGGTGCAGTGTTGAGAGAATTAATGACGTGTGTGTGTTTGTGTGTGTGTGTGAGCTATATCTCAATTGTCTTGTTATGGTGCCGTATGTTTTGTTATAGTGTGTATGCATATATAAATGTGTGTGTGCAGTACAATTGACAACATACAAACCTAATTCATCTTACATATGTTTATGAATCATTGGGTTTGTATGTTTGCATGTCTGATTAATTGCACTGGGATTTTGTGTTTCTCTAGATGTGTGTGTTGAAGAATGGCCTTGTGGGAATGCAGATGACTCAGCGAAATATCAGGACAGAGGAGGAGACGACTGTGAAAGTGACATCACATTCGGCGAAATGGAGCAAAGACTGGATCTACTGCAGGAACACCTAAACAGGTGAGAGAGTGAGAGAAAGTGAGAGAAAAAATCAGGTCACATGAAAGAGTAAATTAAGAGAATATGAGTTAAAACATCAACTTTAACATACGGAACACTTTGTGCTGTTGATCGAATGGTGCCTGCCACCATCTGCTGTTCAGAGACTGTGTTGCATCTCTGCGTCATTATGCGTGTGTGTGTTTGTAGGCTGGAAGAGCAGATGACGTCAGACATCCAGGCTATTTTACAGTTGCTCCAGAGGCAGAGCACTCTGGGACCTCCGGCGTACAACACTGTGGCCGTCAGTCCCGACTACCACAAGCCTGTGCAGCCCGTCACTGCCATGCAGACACAGGTAACACACAGGCTGTGTTCACAAAGCATCTGTGCACTGTGCTGTGCAAAATATAATTCGATTAAAAATTGTTGCCAGATTGGAGCCGATTTTGGGTTACTTTGCAATAGTACATTCAAATGGCAGAAATAGCAGTATGTGTAATCTGTTTTCATCTTTGCAGAGTCCTGATCTAGAGAACGCCTGCAAAGCCAAAGACTCCAACGCCTGCAGTTACCACGGAGATGACCTCTGACGTCAGCACGCCACTCCATTGGTGACGGAGCCAGAGTGGGAGGCGGGTCTCCACAGGCCCTCCTCTGATCCTGGCTGTCCAAAGGAGTAACATAAGGTCAAAGGTTACAGTTTTCATGGTCGTGAAATAGAATCCAATAACAACAGAATTCCCAGGGGGAAGTACAGTAAGAGCAGTGTTTAATCATGAGGACTGAGTTGTAATATTCAGACTTTTTTAATCAAAATGCCTCATAGAGGAGTCGGACTTCTGTATGCTTTCATGTAACTATGCATAGACAGAACAAAATCTACAGTAAGCTCAACCTCCTCCCTTCAAAACAACTGCAGCTACAGCTAGACTCAGGGTACAGAAATGAAACCGAAGAGTCATATGCAAAGAACTGAAAACGACCTTCTGTGTCCCTCATAGTTAGGCGTCGAACAAAAGCTGGTGAACAGATGCATTAATGCAGTATCAGTCTAAAGGTTGTTCATTTTGTAAATATATAAATGAAATGGCAGTCAGGAAGTAACATACTAGACCATGTTAATGAAAGATGCATGCTGGGAAAAAATGCAGTGTTTAGTTTTTGCATGTTTCTTAAAAAAAACACTTGCATTGGCAATCAAGTGACATGAGCTTGGTTTTTTGTCCTTATATCACTTATTTGAGATTCATATATGTATTTACTTAACTATAAATTTCCTGGTATTCAGGAAGAATCTTTTACTTGAACTGAACTCTGCAAAGCAAAGCCTCACCATCAAACTATCATCTCAAAATATCAAATTATTCTGATTTCCACAGGACAGTTACATTCAGAAACAACACGCTGTCCCTTCAGAGCCCACTAAGCATTGTAACAGTATTGTCAGTATTGCAATATCATGTCTCAGTATTGAATTTGACAAAACTTTGACGGTCTAAGAAAGTGTCAGCATTTTTCGGCCCTCATAGTGGGTAATTCAAACCACAGATGAACGTTTGACCACTCCACAAACACCTGGGGGCTTTTAACACTTAAAGGGTCATTTTTAACCCTGGTTAGATATAATTTGCATATTTATGAGGCAAATTCATATTTTAATAACTTCTTGTCCATCTGTGGAAATGTTGCCACATAGGTCCTCTCTGGTTGTCCGCTCATGTTGCAGTTTGAGCCTTTATGATTGGCTGTCTGTTGCTAAACAGCTCGCCTTTGGATTCTAGCACTTAAAGCAAGATAGATGCCTGATTTCATTCAGTGCTGATACGGCTGCTTAACCCAGGGTTAAAACTGGCCCCGTGAAAAGCCCTTTTGTGTTATATGTTGCTTTTTGTCCTCATTTCTTTGTGCAAGTTACAGGTTCATTTGAGAAGGTTCTTTCATTCTGAAGCTGTAGCAGTGTTTATCTGTAGAAATCTATCTGGAGAATGTGATCTGCAGGTGAAAGCCCTAGCGTTTGTAGCAGCAGTCATCCCTGGCCTTCCAGACGATAGATCTACATTAACAGAACCCACAAAATGCACACTTTTAGTTTTGCAGTATAACATGGCATTTACTTCATGTGTAGGAGGACTGCATGTTTAACCAAAGTTAGTTAGTTGAATTAATCACTTAATCACATTTAATGAGATGCATTGAAACACACAGTCTTCCTAGTGTCAGTAAAAAAATTAAAAAAGTGGAAAAATGTATGCATGTCTTAATTTAGTAATTTACTCATAGGGCCACCAGATTTAGAGCTTCTTCGTGAATGAATGAATCTGATTGGTACGCTGAAATCTGGAGGCGGAGCATCGTGACATATCAGTGTATGCTCATCACACAGGTATGTCGTTGGCTGTCCTGACTGGCTCGTGTGACCGCTGTGATCACGGCATGTGTTGGCCTAACAGTTTCCTGTGAGACGGTCCAAATCGTGTCTAGTGTTTCAGGAAGCTGGCAGGAGTGGGTTTGCCTTTGTGGGGGATTGTGGGATAAGGCCAGGACACGTGCCAGTGCGGGAAGAGAGCAAGAGAAAGATACGATACTATTGCGATCTTTTGCACAAACTCTTTGAAACATCTTGTACAGTGTCACTTTTTAAAACTAGTGCTGTTCGCAAAATTGTTTTTATGCATTTTTTTAAATGTTTGACACTGTATTTTATACAATGCAACACATAACAGCCGGTTAGAATGTTTTCTTCCTTGGATATATTGGTATGTATTATATTTATGCTGTATATTGTGAATATTACAAGAGTTAACGCACAACTGTGTAAATTAATAAAGGACAGAATGCTTAATTTACAATGTTGCACACATTTTATTTATGGAAAAACAGGGTTTCTGCAGGACTAATGAAGTTAAATTTAAGGCTTTTTTGTGACCAAGCGAAATTTAAGGAATAGATTGAAGGGAACAAAATCTCAGTTGCAGACAAAGAGTTACTAGAATATGGGAAAAAATCTAAAGTTATGTTCTTCTGCAGTATTTTTGTCCTGTTTTCCAGTGCAAAAATCTAAAGATTCTTAAATCATGATACGTTTACTTAAGAAGCAAAATTACATTAAATAAGAAGTCCTCTTTTCTGTTAAATTGATCAAAATGAACTTTATTAAAACGAGAACAAATGTGTCAGTGAGCTCAGAAAAATCTACTAGGGGAAAACAAGTTTTATACCCCACTGACAAATATTTGTTCTTGATTTAAGCGTATTTAATTTAGTTTATTTTACATTTGTAGTAAATGTATCATCTTGATGTTTAGATATTCTATTAGAAAACTAAACTACTGAGGAAGATCATTTTTTGCAATGCATGCAAGAGTTAATTCCATGACTTTATTAATTTAAGTTTTACTTTCTGCTATAATTTAAGACTTTAAGACCTGCAGAAAACCTGAAAAAGCACACTTATATATATATATATATATTTATAAGAACCTGTGGAAAAATAGACTTTTTATGCACCTCCATCTGCAAAATTCTATCGGAATTGGTGGAAATGGGGAAAAACTAAAATCTCAGAAACTGAGATAGGGTACAGTGGAATCCAAAAATATGAGGCCACTAGAATACAACAAATTTTAAAAAATCCTCAGTCGATTATGGAGCAAAAAAAAGCGCAGAATTTTAAACTAATAGTTAATTTTATGTCTCTAACTTTTCTCAAAATCCTAAAACCTTTTATTTCTAAATCTACAATGTCTTGACATTTTGACCCCACTTCATACTGAAAGTGTAATATACTAAATTTGCTTTTATAGCTCGAATAAGGCTAAAAACTATTATTTCAATGCATATTATAGAGTGTCTTCACCAACAATTCTGAGTGTGTTTCTCTGCGTCACACACTAAGCAGCAGAGCGACCCCTGCCAGAACCCATTTTGCAGGCCTCTCTCTGGTCTTCAGGCTGAAAGTCCAGATATATGTGTTAGCACGTAGTTTGGTTTTATAGACGGGGCATTCGTAGGTATTGCGCGTCTCCTGTCGGTCGTTTGGGATGGCTCGGACAGCTATAACAGGCATGCTGGGGGTTAGTTCCTTCAGGCGTGCTTCTGCGATTGTCCCACCTTGAATATCCCAGCGTGCACCTGCGGTCACAAGCACTGACTTTAGATTCAAATGCACCCAAATGGCTCAGATAATATAAGAAAGCATTCTAATTGGCTGAGGATTCTGATTGGCTGACAGAAGTGCCCTGTGATTGGATGGATGATACAGACCCTCCATGTAAAGGCCATAGATGTAAGCTCCCTCTCTGGCTGACTGGTTAAACTCCTCTTTGAACTTCTTGGTCACATCCACAGTCAAATTCATCTTGTCCAGTGGCCATTCATTCTTACGTGCCAAACTCTGCATCACAGCTACAAAGGCAAAAAGTGTGTATGATGCACATATATATATACAAAAAAAAGTCTTGCACTACCTATATATATATATATATATATATATATATATATGTGTGTGTGTGTGTGTGTGTGTGTGTATCTTAAATAAATGTTATTTTTAACATTCTATTAATCAACAAATCCTGAAAAAAATCATTTCCACAAAAATATACAAAAAACAATATAAAATCTTTCCAAACGTTTGAATGGTAGTATACATATATAAATGTTTGTATTATTTATATACAAGCTTGTATGTGTTACTGTACCTGTTAGAAAAGACTGAGGGTTAAATAAACCAGAGATCCAGACCACACTAGGCAGAGAGAGATCGTGAGTCCAGCTATCTAACTCTCTACAGCGGAGTAACACGTCATTGTACCTGATTGGATACACACAGACATTACATATACAAACTTATCATAAAACAGTACAGCCTTTATATAGTTTCAGAACTTCGTGAGTTGACAACATACAGAAGGCAGTACAGCTATGATAATGAACAATACCATCTTCATGGAGTTCACTGCAATGCATTCAGGGATCATTTCATCCACAGAAAATGTGACCTAAACAAGATATCTTAATAATATCACCAGACCTTGCACCTTACAGAGCAGCACTAGGTTTCAAAACAGAGCTTGACCTTACAGCTAATATTCAGTTGAGCAAACTTATATGGGGTTTTGTCTAACCAACAGGCTTATCATTAACTAAAACTTCCATTTTCACCACTTGAAATAAAACATTAACTGAAATATTAAGTTGAAGTACTAAAATAAACTAATTGAACTGAAAACTAAAACTTAAAAATAGAAGATCAAAAATAATGACAAAAACACAACAAAATTAGAACAAATAAAATATAATTCAAAACATTTACAAGTGATCACTGCTTACCACAGTCCAAGGCTGTATATAGAGGGGTAGGCCAGTCTGGCCCAGGTATCTGGAACATTATCAAAAAACAGAGCTGTCTGTATCTGCTCCATCTCTGATGAAATAGCCAGCTCTCCCTGCCCGAGAAAACAAGACCAGTTTACATACTTGTGAAGCCAAGCTTTTGACTATCCGCCTAAAGTCTTAGACAAGAGGACACTGTGATATGAAAAGCGGCCAAGCACGATTCATATTGCAGCTGATAACCAGTGTTGGGGAAAGTTACTTTTAAAAGTAATGCATTACAATATTGCGTTACTCCATAAAAAAGTAACTAATTACGTTACTTAGTTACTTTTTAT